AAAGCTGGATTTCAACAACAATAGAAACAACAAAAAAGCCAACAAAGTCATGGAAACTGAACAACTCTCGACTGAATGATCACTGGGTCAAGAAAGAAATAAAGAAATTAAAGGCTTCCTAGAATTTGATGAAAATGAATGCACAACATACCAAAATTTATGGAACATAATGAAAGTAGTGCTAAGAAGAAAGTTCATAGCACTAAGTGCCTTCATAAAGAAATTAGATAGATCTTATACTAACAGCATTACTTATAACTAACAGGCATTCAGTAACTCAATACTCATAACTCAACACTAATAGATCTCATAACTTAAAAGCACACATGGAAGCTCTAGAACAAACACAGGTAGACAGCAGGAAATAATCAAGACTAAAATCAATAAAATAGGAACAAAGAGAACAATACAACGAATCAATGAAATAAAGAGTTGGTTCTTTGAGAAAAATCAACAAGATAGACAAACCTTTATCCAAACTAAAAAGCAGAGAGAGAACATCCAAACCAACAAAATGAGAAACAAAGGGGGACATGACAATAGGCACTAAGGAAATCCAAAAATCATTAGTTTATACTTCAAAATTGGAAAATCCAAAAGAAATGGACAAATTTCTTGATATATTCCACTTACCAAAGTTAAATCAAGATTAGATAAATAATTTAAATGCACCTATAACCTCTAAGGAAATAGAAGCAGTCATTAAAAGTCTCCCAATCAAAAAAAGGCCAGGGCCAGACAGTTTTAGCACAGAATTCTACTAAACTTTCAAGGAAGAGCTAATACTAAGACTCCTCAAATTATTCCACAAAGTAGAAACAGAAGGCACATTGCCAAATTCATTTTATGAGGCCACAGTCACCCCAATACCAAACCACAGAAAGACTCAACAAAGAAAGAGAATTTTACAGACCAATATCTCTCATAAATATTGATGAAAAACACTTAAATATTACAAACCAAATCCACAAAGATATCAAAAAAGATCATCCACCATAATCAAGTAGGCCTCATCCCAGACATGCAGGGATGGTTCAACATACAAAAAACAGTCAAGGTAATCCACCATGTAAACAAACTGAAAGAAAAAATACACGATCATTTCATTTGATGCTGAAAAAAACCTTTAACAAAATCCAACACCCCTTCATGATAAAAGTCTTGGAGCGATCAGGAATACAGGGAACATACCTAAACATAATAAAGGCAATATATAGAAAGCCAAGAGCCAACATCAAGGACTAAAATCAAGGACAAGACAAGGTTGTCCACTCTCTCCATATCTATTCAATATAATACTTAAAGTTTTAGCTAGAGCAATAAGACAACAAAAGGAGATCAAAGAGATATAAATTGGAAATGAAGTCAAAGTCTCACTATTTGCAGGTGATATGATAGTATACATGTGACCCCAAAAATTCTACCAGGGACCTCCTACAGCTGATAAACACCTTTAGTCAAGTGGCAGGATACAAAATAAACTTAAAAAAAAAAAACAGTAGCCCTCATATCCACAAACAATAAATGGGCTGAGAAAGAAATTAGGGAAACAACAGCCTTCACAATAGCCACAAATAATATAAAAACTACTCTAATCAACAAGTGAAAGACATGTATTGCAAGAATTTCAAATCTTTGAAGAAAGAAATTGAAGAAGATATCAGAAGATGGAAAGATTGCCCATGTTCAGGGATCAGTAGAATTAACATAGTAAAAATGGCCATCTTACCAAAAGCAATCTAAGATTCAATGCAATCTCAATCAAAATTCGAACACAGTTCTTTACAGACATTAAAAGAACAATACTCAACTTCATGTGGAAAACAAAATATCCAGATAGCTAAAACAATCAATAAAAAAAAACTGTACAATAAAAGAGCTTCTGGAGGTATCACCATCTCTGATTTCAAGCTCTATTACAGAACAATAGTAATAAAAAATGCATGGTATTGACATAAAAATAGACAAGTGGATTAATGGAATTGAATTGAAGACCCAGACATAAACCTATACACCTATGGACACCTGATGTTTGACAAAGCCCAAATTATATAATAGAAAAATGAAAGCATCTCCAACAAATGGTACTGGTATAACTTTATGTCAGTATGTAGAAGAATGCAAATAGATTCATATCTATCACCCTGAACAAAACTCAAGTCCAAGTGGATCAAAGACCTCAACATAGAACCAGATACACCGAACCTGATAAAAGAGAAAGTGGGGAATAGCCTTGAACACATTGGTATAGGAGACAACTTCCTGAACAGAACACAAATAGCACAGGCAATAAGATTGATGATTAATATTCGAACCTCATGAAACTGAAAAGCTTCTGTGAGGCAAAGCACACCATCAATACAACAAATCAGCAGCCTACAGAATGGGAAAATATCTTCACCAACCCTACATCAGACAGAGGGCTAGTTTCCAAAATATATAAAGAACTCGAGAAACTAGGCATCAACAACACAAATAATCCAATAAAAAATGGGGTACAGATCTAAACAGAGAATTCTCAACAGAGAAATCTCAAATGGCCAAGAAGCACGTAAAGAAATGTTCAACATCCTCTGCCATGAGGGAAATGTAAATCAAAACAACTCAGATTCTATCTTAAACATGTCAGAATGGCTAAGACTAGAAAACAAGTGACAGTTCATGCTGGATAGGATGTGGAACAAGGGGAACACTCCTTCATTGTAGTGGGTAGCCATTCCAGCTTGGATCTGGAAGCTCCAACCCCCATTGAGACTCTGGCAACTGTCACGCCTACGAGGCGGGGCGAGGGGAGGTGCTGGAAACCTGAGAGCTGGATGGGCAAGTGCTCTCTCTGGGCGCGCTCTCTGCGCCTGGACCCTGGATGGTGGAGATTGATTGTGCAGAGCTCCAGAGAACACCGCTGGATTGCGATATGCCTTCCCCAGACCCCCGCGACCTATCCATTCCTTCATTTGTAAGTCATCCACTAAATAAATCTTCCTTTTAACTACGTGGAGTGGCCTTTATAATTTTCCCCAATACTTCATTGCTCGAGCGAGTGCAAACTTGTGCAGCGACTTTGAAAATCCATACAGTGGCATCTCAGAAAATTAGGAATTGATCTACTGCAAGACCCAGCTATACCACTCTTGGGAATACACCCAAAGGATGTTCCATCATACCACAAGGACACTTGCTCAGCTATGTGCATAGCAGCTTTATTTACAATCCTCCAGAAACTAGAAACAGCCTAGATGTCCCTCAACCAAAGAATGGATAAAGAAATTGTGGTACATTTACACAATGAAGTATTACTTAGATATTAAAAATAATGACATCAAGAAATTCAGGCAAATGGACGGAACTAGAAAAAAATCATCCTGAATGAGGTAACCCAGGCCCAGAAAGACAAAAATAGTATATAGTCACTCATAAGTTAATATTAGTTGTAGAGTAAATGATAATCCACAGCCCCCAGAGAGGCTAAGTAACAAGGAGGGCTCAAGGAGGGGAAACATATGAATCTCCCTGGGAAGGAGAAATAGAATCAACATCGTGGGTAAAGTAGAGGGTTGGGAGAGACAGGAATAAGAGGAATCAGGTATGGGGAGATGGAGGTAGAGAGTACTAGGAGAGACAACTGGAATTGGGAGGCATCTCTAGGACAAACTAGAAACCTAGAGCAATGAAATTTCTCGGGAATCTGTGGGGGTGACCCTAGCTAAGAATCCTAGCAATGAGGGATAAAGAGCCTGAACTGGCCATCTCCTGTAACTAGGCAGGACTTCCAGTGGAGGGATTGGGACACCAACCAAGCCACATAACCTTCAACCTACAATTTATCCTTTCTACAAGACATGCTGGGATAAAGATGGCACAGAAATTGTGGGAGTGGTCAATCAATGATTGGTCCAGCTTGAGACCCATGCCACGAGAGAAAGCCCACTCCTGACACTGCCTGGAGGGCTAGGACCCGGAGGCCAGATAGCCCAGAGACTTAGGACAGAACCAAACATGACTGGAAAAGGAAAATCAGTGAAATGATTCCTGGTGACGTTCTGCTATACTCATCGATTGGTGCCTAGCCCAATTGTCATCAGAGAGGCTTTATCCAGCAACTGATGGAAAGAGATGCAAACCCATAGGCAAACATTAGGCAGACCTTGGGCAATCCTGCAGAAGAGGGGAAGGAAGGATTGTAGGAGCCAGAGGGGTCAAGGAAACCACATAAAAACACACAGAATCAACTAGGCTAGGCTCATAGAGGCTTACAGAGACTGAACCGACAACCAGAAAACCTGCAAGGGACTGACCTAGGCACTCTGCATATGTGTTACAGTTGTGTAGCTTGGTCTACTTGTGAGACTCCTAACAGTGGAAGCAGGGGCTGTTTCTGACTCTTTTGCTGGCTTTTGGGACCCTTTTCCTCATGCTGAGTTGCCTCGTCCAATCTTCAACTCGATATGCCATGTTTGGTTCTATACATGGGAGGCCTGCCTTCCTCTTAATAGAGGAGGAGGAGTGGATGGGGTAAGGGAAGAGGAAAGGTGGGGAGAGCTGGGAGTACAGGAAGGAGGGGACACAGCAGTCAGGTTGTAAAATAAATGAATAAATAGTAATAAACAATTAGAGTGGTGTAATTAAGGAGATAAAATACAAGTAAGCAGATAAAGAGGGTGCACGGATTCACTGAGGTCAAACACACTCATTCTAAAAATTGCCATTGCCTCTATCTCCTGAGCATCAGAACTTTAAGTCAGAAAAGAATCCTGCATCACAACCCTCCCTAGCAGTGGAGCTGGGCATACAAGATTGGAGACACACATTAAACTCTTTAATGGTAGGCCCAGCCTGGTCTGCATCATGATTCGGTTTTGAACCCAGAAAACTAACCTCTTTCTCCTGTGTGTCACATATATGTACAGTCTGAAAGCTCCTATTACACAAAACAACTTGATATTATTATACAATATCAACTGTGTTAAGTACTAGGCACATGAGAAATAACTCATTCTTACCTCTTTCTCATGCATTCGAGAAAGAAAATGATCATCATGAAGACTGCTAGACTTTCTCAGGCTGACCTTTGGAGTTATCTGTAGAAGCAGTAAGAATTATTTAAAACTGCCCGGGACTAGTTTATCAACTCTTGAAAAGTAAACTAATCAAGTCTCAGAAACTCATTTCAAAATAAGGTTAGCTTTGGAGAAAAAAGTGACTCATTCACTTCTAAGCAACAGGACTAAAATTACTATTACCCTTCCTAATGTGGATCTACATTACTTTATATTTTAAAAACTTCATTTTATTTAAAGATACCTGTCCCTAGAAAAAGTCCAGTTAAATCATTACTTACCAGAGAAACTGGAAGAGGCTTCTGTCTCAGGTACCGAGGATTTTCTATCTGAAATATTACAAATAAAGACATTAATCCTGGAGTTGTTTGAATAAAATACATTTTATGTGTGAAAATGTCTTTTGTATATCTTAACATTTAGTTCACGTTCTATAGTACCACACATACATTTCTGTGACCTCCCTTTCTGTGTCTAAACACACCTTCATGGCCCCTACCTCAGTGCCCACTCTCATCGAAGGCTCTTCACTTCACATTTCACATTTCCCAAATCTGAATGACTGACTATGTTACCAGAACTTGGGCCCACCTGCCTGGTTATGCCTCCCAAACCCTCTAAGTCTACATGTATTCATTCTTTAAATCTCCGTTTAGTCACTACACCCCTAGACATACTAGAGATACGACTCTAACTGTAACTCACAGCATAAATGAGGACATGAAATTCCTTTGAGATTCTCCCTAAAGCTATCTTTTCAGCTTCACTATTCCCCAACTTACTCCACATTCCAGGGCCACCAGACAACTTTACCTTGCAAGCACTACCTGCTCAAAGCTGCAATCATTCTTCCCCCTTCTTCAAGACTCACTGAGTCAGAATGAGGTCCTCAGGACAATTAAACCCAACCAGGCTAGTGCCACCCTGGATGCTTGCCTCTTTTTATGACCTAGCACCCATTTTTTCAAAAAAAAAGTGGATCCCCAAAACAAAGACAGTGATTGCCACATTCACCAGTCTATTCCAAACCCCCAATCCAGTGCCCACAATATTCTTAGGGAAGAGGAGGGAGAGAGGGAACTACATTTGGTCCCACCCCTCAGCAGCTCCTAAGCATCCTGGCTTCACATTCATGGCCCTTACCTAATACCTTGAGTGCTCAGCACTATGTTTCCACACACATCTTTGGGCAGACTAAGTACAAGGATAGTGTCATCTCAGTTTTGTAGGTCTGGCATCTAACACACATTTAATGCCTTTCAATCAAGCATTTCTTGAATTGCTTTATGATAAATTCTTTATGATTTCTATACCAACTACTTCATTTACAAATAAAATAAAAATTAAAAAGTCATTATCAAAAGAGTCAAATTTCTTCATGTCATAAGCTCACAACCTACTACACCAATAACCACAAAACGAACAAGAACATTATGACTCCAAAGAAGAAAGTGGTTCTTACCCTGGATTACACTTAACTTAATCTTAAATTAAGATTAAGAGACAAGCTTTTTCACATATATTTTATTCTATCTTCCAAAATTCTAGCCAGTTTTCAAAAAGCTAAATTGTATTTAATTGTGAAGATATTACACTCAATTTGACACAAAAGGCAAAGATAAAGAATCAATTAAAGAAAACAGAGGGACTAAACTTAAAAAACAGAATTTAAAATAGCAAAGGAGTCGAGCAAAACACCAGACAGGATCTGAGGAATTACGTGCATTTTAGTTCCTAGAACAGGAAAATATTCACATGGTTTTCTTCACCCAGAGACTAGATCCCATAAAGGTACTGGAAACCATCTGAATTTAAATTTCTTTCCTGGTCCTGCACATAGACCAACAATGGAACCAAATAAAAACACCTACCAGCAGTGCCTACATCCCAATGAAGAGAAAGTGAATAGCAATTCCAAGATCCACATAAAAGTAGCCAAATAAAGATCCCAAGCCTCAACCAAATTAGCACAAAGTACAAAGTCACCACGACCAAATGTTTGATAACACTATAGACTGGCTGCATGAAAGTCTGACTTCAATGTTCAGGATGCAAAGCATTACTAGAAGATGCATGAATCACAACAGTGCATTTACTAAGTAAGGTTGAAGCACTGTGCCTGAAGAGGAGGTGCCGAACTGTACACACGCAGCTCTTTAAATACAGGCAGCAAGCTCTAGGAAGTAACAAAGTACATTCAACAAATATCTGCTGTCTGAAAGTACATTGTGAAAAGAAGTTAGCATTCTTCATTTGGGGAACACAGAAAGGGAGTTCTTCAAAGACACACACACCAATGAACACACTCAACTCTGACTCACGAGGCTGAATTAAATATAAGAAGAAACAGGAAGAGTAAAAACAAGTCTCAAAGATGCTTAAGCTCTAATTAAGTTTAGATTTAAAACCAAAGGCCAAGGAAACCATCTGTGACTTATTTTGCTCAGCTCTCCATTTATAAGCAGGACACAAAATATTGGTCTAGTTAATTACAATACAGCATTTCAGCTATACAGAAGTAAGTCTTAGTCTACCCCCTTCATCTTTAAAAGCATTAAATAAAGAAGTGAAGGGTTTCTATTATTATGAATTATTTTTCAAATTTATGAATAAAGAAAAATGTCTATTCTAATTCATAAAAACAACAAAAAACAGCGAAAATGGTAACAATATTCCATTGTTCTTATTCATTTATAATACACTGAGTTTGGGAAATATTCAAAGAAAAGCATGTTCTTGAGTCTATTTAGGGAAAATAAGCAATCTATTTTCTGATTTTGTAACAACAGCCAGATGTGCTTTGAAGTTGACTACTCCCACTTTGCAATCCGCAGGCAGCATGGACTTGGATGGAGCAATGTGTAAACAGTCTTAAGGCTGACTTCTTTCATGTTTTTTCAGAAAACCTCCTTCTCTCAAAATACATCAAGAACAAATGCCACAAAAAAAGAATGTCTAGCGTGGAAGCTACAGCACAGTCATGTGAAACACTGATGGAGATGAAAATACATAGAAGGCAAAGCCCCAAATAACTAGATTCCAACAGCACAAGTCCATCAGGCATCTGCACATTTGTTTCAAAAGCAAACAGAAAAGCAATAATAAAATATATAATAATCTAAGCTAAGCATTACTACAGATATATGAATGCTCTCTAATGAAAACTAACTTTTGATGTCTTATTTTATTTAGTTTTTTTAGTAGGCACACTAGATTACAAATTGTTTTTTTGTTGGTTTATGTTTTGAAATTATTCCAGTTTTGGCTCAACTTCCATAAGAAAATACCTTCTGATGGACTAATAGTCAGTTAGAGAAGTTTTGTTTCCAGAAAAATTAAAAAGTACTTTATCAGATATACAAACTTTAGAGGGAAAGACATTGTCAAATGATATATTACCAGGAACACCAACTAAAATAACTTTTTAAAATTTTAATATAGGAAAACTCTTCACAGGATGAAGGGAGCTGGGCAGTGAATTCATCTTTCAACATCTAGTCAACTGTGCTTCGAGAGTATATCTTATCTATAGCTTAGAAATCCATGTCAGGGCCAGTGAGATGGCTCAGTAGGTGAAGATGCCTGCTGCCAAATCTGATGGTCTGACTTCAGTCCCTGGGCCCTACACGATAGAAGGAGAGAACCAACTCCCACAAGTTGTCCACGGCCTTCTCTAAGTATGGGTGCACGTGCCAGTGCATGTGCGCACACACACACACATACACACACACACACACACACACACACACACACACACACACACACACACACACAAAGAACATTATTTTTCCACAGAAATAATTCTACATGTGAAGACTCATTCACTAGTTTACCAAAGATATTTCAGCAATCATTTAACAGGCCTAAGCAACATATATACACACAAATACACCATCCAGTACCACAAGGAAAAGGAAAAAAAGGCCAAACGAACAGAACACAAGCAGGAACCACTGTCATATGCTGCCCGTGAAACAAATTACACCATGGTGTGTCAAGAAAGCACGTTTCATCTATTGGTTCTGATGACCTAAGGTTCAGTTTTGGTTTTGGTTTTACCTGGTTAGGTTTTTTTGTTGTTGTTTTGATTTGTTTTTTTCTTGAGGTTAAGTAACAGATTATTAGCGGATCTTTGATTCTCAGCACCACTTTAAACATAGCACAGAACTTTTATGACTGTTCACTATTACTCACTAATGTTTACCTTTGGTTTTAATTATTACTTTTATAGAGCTATCTTGATTTTGATTTTCAGGTAGAAATGTGAAAAGGAAACTATTCTCTTGGTGGTAATTTTTAATCTTACTGAAATAATTATTTATTGAAAACATTTATTTCCTAATCAGACCCACTTTATAAATACCCCATGGCCATACAAAAATAAATTCACAAACAAAACTACTTTTCCTTGGCCTCTGTTCTATAACCATATTTCTTCTCATTTTTAGAAACTGTCATCTCCTTTTTAAGATCAACTATTAGCTATAGTAATTTCTCCAATCTCAAACCTAGTTTCTGTTTTTGGTGTTTTTAACTTTACTTATTGACTTCTGTGTATGTGGGGATGTACATACCACATTGTGGGTGTGGAAGTCAGAGGACAACTATTGAGAGTTGGTTCTCTCCTTCTGTGATGAGGGTTCTGGGGATAGAACTCAGGACCTGAAGCTTGACAAGTGCCTCTAACCAGGAAGTCATCTTAACAGCTCTTGATTTTTGTTGTTTTGTTTTGTTTTTTATAAAGACAGGGTTATTCTATAGCCTGGGCTAGCCTCAAACTCATAGCAATGCTCCTGCCTATGCTTTGCAAATGCCGGGAGTACAGGTTGCTTTACATGCCTGGCTATTTCTTGACTTCTTTCAAAAGATAACTCAAAGTGAATGATGATTTTTAAAAGAAAAAAATTCTATATGAACATACAAAAATTAGTTGTCCTGAAAGGCTTCCAGGTTTTTCAGGTATGGTAAGTAAAAATATGAAAAGTACATGCATAGTTCAGGAACACAAATGATTTATTTTATTTTTCTTCAAATAATGAATAAAAAGACAAGAGAATACCCCATGGCTGACTATTCATTATAAACTTCAGGAAATATTTAGTTAAATTTTGTGAATGAGATTCACTCTATAGTTCTTTGAGTTTTAGCAAATCCATTCAATGGTACTGTCTTAGTCTGCCTTCTATTGCTGTGATAAACACCATGATGAAAAGCAGCTTAAGCAGGAAAGGGCTTCTTTATCCTTACAGTTGTAGTCCATCAGGAAGAAAGTTGGGGCAGTGTGGTGATATACTGTGTACCCTAATAAAATTTGCCCGAAGATCCGAGA